TATTTCATACTAGGGTTCGGCAGACTGTGGTCCACTGGCCAATCCTACCCGCTCCCTGTTTTTATAAAAAATGTTTTATTACATAGACACAGTCACTCTCATCTGTTTACATATTGTCTGTGGCCGCTTTTGAGGTGGTAGCATTTGGTAATTGCTATAGAGACTGAATGGCTGGCACAGTCTAAAATATTTACTAATATTGAACTAATCATATACTACTTACATTAGTAAAACATTTACTAATATTTTAAGCCTGAAATATTACTAAACTTCACCACTTTAAACCAATAAAATGAACAGTTTTCCATGAAGTTACAATAACTGGGAACTTGTATGTATTCAACAGCATAACTTCCAAATATAGAACTAAAAGATGAATAGAATTACAGAGACAAGTAGAAAATGCTACACTTAAACCTCCATGGCTCAAGCAAAAAACTGATAGAATATTTGAAATAGCTAATGAATACATGTGGAACTTTGTTTTTAAATACACATGAAATATCAGAAAACACTGTTGTGCCCTGAACTTTAAACTGTAAAAAGCGATCACTGGGGAGAGTAGTAGAGCCGAGGGTCACATGCATAGATGTGCGAGGGGTCATGAGTGCTCATGGCCAGGCCCAAAGTATGATGTCAATGTAATAAGGCAGACAGAACAAAGAGAATAAAGGTCATGACCAGTGGCAGTAGCAAGGAAAGCCAGAATATAACAAGTACCCAAACCGGACAGACTAGCCTGGAGCAGGTGCCACAAAAGTCCCAGAGACTCCAGGGCTGCGTCGCGTTCCAGTCACGTCTTTGCGCTGCTCCATCCTAGGACTGTGTCTGTACCTGCCTGTCCAGGACATCCTCCCTCTCGCACTGGTCCTGTGTTGGCTTCCTGTTGTGTGAACTTGCCCAAGGGAAGTCATGCTACTTGGACACGAGGAAACAAAGTGAAATCTCCTCCTGACCCGTCGCACCGCAGCATGACCCAGGGCTGTGGCAGACATGCAGGTGGGCGGGTGAAAGTCTAGGGAAAGCTGGATGCCAGAGAGTCCTGGAGCTTGCCCTGCTTGTGCTGGCTGTCACGGCTGCATGCAGGGTCGCTGGCTTGCTGTGCAGCAGAATGGAGGCATTGGCTCTGAGGTGTTAAAAGCAGTGTGTGGAAACCTGGGTTTCCTGGTCTGCCCCATTCGTAGGAAGGAGCAAGAGTTCAGGACTGGGTACGGCGTGAAGGCTATGGACTCGGCAGCATGCCCACTTTATTATGTTTTGTTCTCCATGTACAAAATCTAAGAAGCAGAAAGGAACAGCAGCGTGTTCGCCGAGGGATCACTGGGGAGAGCTGGAGCGAGCTGAGCTGGGCAGCACCTAGGTTGGCCTGGGAGCATCATGTTCAAGGACTTACAGGAGGAGAGGCAAGAAAGCTGAGCCAAGGCCAAGGGGCCAGGGCCATCGAAACATGTGCAGGGCTTCCAGAAGGAAGGGAAGTCTCCAGCCCAGCATCTGCATGAACACTGATGCAAAACTCCACCACCAAACACTGGCAAGCCCGTCTCAGCCGCACAGTACAAGGATCGCACACACAGCTCCTAAAACTAATGACAAAACACGACCCAACTAAAACACGAGCCAAGGACTTGAATAGACATTTCTTCAAAGAATATATACAAATGGCCCATAAGTACATGTAAAAACGCTATAAAGAAACATCGGTAATGGGGGGAATCTAGTAACCACAATGTTGCTCATGTAATTGTATATTAACGATATCGAAATTTAAAAAATGCGTATGTCGGCATATCTTATAGGTAGTAAAAAATGTCAGAATAAACAAAAAGCACATGAAGCAAAAACAACCAAAAAAAGAAACATCGGTTACTACGATTACTACGTCCAGCAGTATTGTTGTTGTGTATGAAAAAAAACCCCACAGCGCGTAATCGTTCCTAGTCACCTCTTCTCCTTTATTTCTGTGCTTTTCAGTCATAATGTCTCCTCCTTCATTTCTGATTGTATTTGAGTCTTTTTTACTTAGTCTAGCTAGAAGTTTGTTAGTTTTGTTTATCTTTTGGAAAAACCTCAGTTTTTTTGTTGATTTCTTTCTGCCGTTTCTCTGCGGTCTATTTCACTTCTTCTGCTATGATCTTTGTTACGTTCTTTCTCCTGCTTTCTCTGGGTTCGGTTTGCTTCTCTTTCTGTAGTTCCGTGAGGTGTGAAGTTAGGCTGTTTATTTGGGATTCTCTGTCTGGCCATAGGCATCTGTCCCCACGAACTCCCTCCTCGGACTGCTATTGCTGCGTCTCATAGGTGTGGGTATATTGTGCGTCTGTTTTAAATTTTCTCAAGATAATTTTTTTTTTCCCTTTCGATTTCTTCTTTGACCTGTTGGTCATTCAGGAACGTGTTAATTTCCACATATCTGTGACTTTTCTAGCCTTCTGCCTGTCACTGATTTTTAGTTCCTCAAAGTTGTGCTCAGAAAAGATGCTTGGTATGATTTCAGTCTTTTTAAATTTGTTGGGACCTATTTGGTGGCCTAACATATGATCTATCCCAGAGCATATTCTTTGTGTGCTTGAAAAGATGGTGCATCTTCTGTTTTTGGGTGAAATGTTCTGAATTTGTTAGTTAGATCCATTTGGTCTAATAGTCCAAGTCCAGTGTTTCCTTCTTGGTTTTCTGTCTAGATGATCTTTCCATTGTTGAAAGGGAGGTGTAGAACACCCCTACTATTATGGCGTTTCCATCTATTTCAGCCTTCAGATTTTTACTATTTCCTTAATAGATTAGATGCTGAATGTTGATTGTGTATATATTTACAATTGTCATATCCTCTTGATGAATTGAGCCCTTTACTATGTAGTGAGCATCTTTGTCCATTGTCACTTTTTTTGACTTAAAGTCTGTTTTGTCTGATATAAACATGGCTTCCCCTGCTCTTTTTTGGTTCCATTTGCATGGGATATCTTTTCCCATGGCATCGCTTTCAGCCTCTGTGTGTCCTTAAAACTGAAGTGAGTCTCTTGAAGGCACATAGGGTGGGGGCTGCCAGCCCCGAGCCTAGGGGCATGGACCTTTCTGAGGAGGGCACGGGGGCTGTGGCCGGCCATGACGTCAGTGGTGAAAACTGCTGCTGCCCTCCTGGGGGCAGGCTGCCGGGCCAGAAGCAGGGGATGCGGCCGCTGTGAGGGATTCACTCTGTCACCTGATTCCACTACCCTCATCAAAGATCTTATTTTAAATGCATGGTGCGTATCTCCTTAATCCCCTCCTTTTAAAATCATGCCTTTATAATATGTACATATAAATACGTACCTAGAAAGGAAAGCTATTACTCTTCAGTTTGTTTTACTTACGGCTTCCATGTCAGTACAAAGAGAACAGACTCATTCTTTGTGGTTTTATTAAGTGCTTCTTAATAGGTAAGTTTCATGAGTTTTCACAATTTTATATTCCCCAGTAACCACCACCCAAAACCAGATATGGCACATTTCTCCTTGTGTCAGTACCTCCTATATCCCTACCCTAGATGTAAACTATTCTGAATGATTTTACCTGTAGTTTAGTTTGCCTGTTTTAGAATTTTATATAAAAGGAATCATCTTAAAAGTACTCTTCTATGTCTGGCTTCTTTCATTTAACACAGTGTTTTTGAGGTTCATCTCTGTTACTGTGTATCAGTAGTTTGCTCATTTTATAATATGCTGTGGGGCATATTATTTTATTATTTATAAATATACCACATTTAAAAAATCTACCTATCTGTTGAGCATCTGAGTTGTTTCCGATTTTGGCCTCTTTGGAAAAAGTTGTTATGAACATTCATGCCCAAATCTTTTATAGACATGTGTTTTCACTTCTCTTGTGTGAACACCTAGGAGGAGGACTGCTGAGTTACAGAGTAGATAACACGTTTAATTTTATTAGAAGCTGCTGACCATTTTCTGATGTGTTTCTGCTGCTCCCTGCCTTCCCTCCAGCAGTGCAGGAGATCCGGCTCTTGTACACCCTTGCCAATGTTGGGTGGCGTCAGCATTTTGTATTTTAGCGATTCTCTCTCCTGTCTTTGGGTATTTCACTGCAGTTCTAATTTTCATTTCCCTCATGACTGATGATGTCATGCATCCTTTCATGTGCTTCCTGGCCATTCATAAATCTCCTGTGCAGCACTTGTTTAAGAATTTGCTACAGACTCATTGTTCCTAATCATTCTTTGGTTCCATTGTTCGGTTGAACTGAAATCCATGTAATTTAATTGCCTATTGATAAATGTTTAAATTGTCTCAAATTTATGTTTTTAAAAGCAGCCTGAAATGACTGTCTTTATACAATTCCATGCCAATGGGCTAGTACTTCCAGTGTCTGCATTTTTAGCCAAATTTTGGGTGTTTGTGGCAGGAAAGAATAGACAGGGCTCGCACATTTTCCCCAGGAAGGCTCAACTGGTACCTGCATCACAGGTGCCCCACCCGTCCTCTTCCTGCCAGAGTGTGGCTGAGGAAGAACAAACCTGACAGAAATGGAACCATCTGGCTGCTAAATATGGGACATTGAGGGGATTGCAGACCTGAGGGGATTTGACCATCTACTGCCAAGTCATGGGCATTCAGTGTTGTATAAGACAGAGCCCTCCCACACAGCTAGCTGCAGGCAGGGAAGGTGGCTTTCCCCAGTTAGCTCAGGGTGAGAGGGTCCTGAGTTACATGTAGGGTCTCCGGGTGACGCAGGAGGTTGAGTAGGTGGTGGATTTGGCACAGAGCTGTACAGAGAATAGTCTCTACTTTTCCCCTCTCAACTCTGATTACAGAATAACGGCCAGGTGTGTGAAATCATAATAGAAGATATTGATGGAACCACATTGCTAAGAGAGAAGGAGAAGAAACAAAGAGAAAGGACAGCCCCCCTCCACACTCCCTGCACCAAAGGTACGTCCCGGGAGGCCCTACCTACCATCGCCCTGACCCAAGTCTCCCGGGAGGGAAGGGCCGCCTTCTCTCAGCCCCTGGCGTAGGATGACCACGGACTCGGTCATCCATGCGGGTACGTCTGTGAGAGAAAGACAGAGCTGTGAATTGTTCCCTGGGAACAGCAATCACAAAGCGAGAGTGTCCCGGGCCAACGGGCTGAACGGCTGCCCAGCCAGAGCGGGACTGTGCACGAGGGGCTCCCGCTCGGTTACCCTCTTCTCCTAGTTCCTTGCTGGGCTGAGAAAGGTGGGTGGTTCAGACAGGGGCATGTGCTTGTGGGGAGGAGAAACCTGGCAGTGGGAGGTGGGCCGGTGAGGGGCAGTGTGGGGACACGTGCCCAAGCACAGGGAGGCCCCAGTCTGGACGCCTGTGGGAGTGAGTGTGCACACACGTGGGCACGTATGTGATCTAAGGGAAGTTTAAGGCGTGAGAGCCAAAGCATGAAGTGAGAAACAGTTGAGACAGAAACTGTGGTGCAGGGAACCTTCTATTGCACGGCTTGGTGGAGGGGGCAGCAGGCTTGGGTTGGAGCTGGAGGCAGGCAGGAGGGGGGAGCAAAGGAGGCCACTGCTCCAGCCTGTGCGTGCATCTGAGGGCAGCGATGTGCATCCCAGGTGGGTGGCCGGGCCCAGGAAGAACAGAACAACTCTTTGCTGTTGCTCTAGGCTGGCCAAGCAGGTCTGCGTGGCTGGGTGAAGCTAGGGCAGGTGTGCCCCGTGTTACGGATGAGGATGCTTAACCTGAGAGGGCAGTGATGTGTCCGTGTCCATTAACCTGGGGCACACAGACAGGACGCCTGTCTGGTCTTCTGGCTGCAGCTGGAGTCCTGCTGGTGCCCCTGAGGCTCGGAGGAAGGGCCGTGTTGATAGAGGACCAGGACCCTTTCTCCGCGCATCCTGGGGCTGAGGTGGGTGAGGAACGTGTCCAGACTCTTCATTCTTTTCTTTGCAACTTCTCCCCTGCAAGATAAAGCCCACTGACCGACAGCAGAAAGCCATAAAGATCCAGGCGTGGTGGCTGGGCACCCTGGTGCACAGAATGCTGCTGCACACGGCGCTTGGAGCCTGTGTCATTCAGCGCTGGTGGCAGCTGACGCTGGGGAAGAAGCTCGCAGAGAGGCGGCGGGTGGCCCTGGAGTCCTATGCACAGCAAATACGGGCAGCGGTCAGGCTGCAGGCCCAGATGCGCATGTGGCGAGTCCGCCTCCATTACTGCCGCTTGCTGCACGCCGCCCGCGTCATCCAGGCGTACTGGTGCTGGCATAGCTGCCACACCTGCGGCTTTATCCAGGGCAGCTATGATATCACATCAAACCAGCTGGGACTGGAGCTTGAGATCTTTCTGGGGTCACAGATTTGCCAGGTCACAGACTGCATCCCTTTCCCAGTAAAGAAGTGATCAGGTCTGCTCCAACCTTGTGTCACCAGGTCTCTGTCACACAAGCTCTAGGAGGTACTTTTGTTAGCAAAGCGTCCGGGAAAATGACAGTAGGTGCCGGCCGCTCACAGCCGCCTCCTGGGGTCATCTGGGGCCCCCTGTAAAGGTGCTGGGTTGGGGGCCTGTGGCCGTTTAGCAATGTCTTCCGCTTTCAGCGGGGAGGAGGGCCGGGGGTGCAGGCCCGCCAGTCCCCAGACCCAGGACACCCTTCAGCGTGGGCTGTGTGAATGGCGCCCCCTATCGTCGTGCAGCCTGGAGGCCTGGGTGGCCTGACGCTCTTACTCGTTCAGTGTCCTCCCATTCGATTCAGTACATTCCACAAGCCCTCTCCCTGGTCTGGCCCGGCCACACCACATCTCTGTGTCTTCCCTGGCACCCTCCTACTGTCCCCGTCCCATCAGGCTACCCTTCCAGCGCTGCGCCCTCGCTGCCTCCTCTCCACCGATGCCCTTCCGGAAGGAGCTGGTGCCCCCAGGTTTGTCTCTGCTCCGGGCTCCCTCCTCGGGGCCTGCTCTGACCACCCCGTCTACAGGGCCCCCACGTGGGCTGTGGCTCCTGACTGGCCCTCCTGGGTCAGAGTCCCGCCACTGCCGGGTCCTCCGCCTCCCTCTCCTTCCTGTTGGTCCACTAGAGGCCGCGCTGCAGGAAACAGGGCCTCGGGTCAGCGGGGCTCCCGGACCTGGGCAGTAGGCTGGCTCTCCCCTCATCAATATGAATTGTGTGTACTTTCCATGTTCTGTATATTATGATGCTCTGACAGCTTCTAAAAAATTCCTGTTTTGGGTGAGACTGTTCCCCAGGGCTGGGCTGTTAGGGACAGTGAAGACTCAGCCCTGAGCAGGCCTTTGATTTACAAACTACCCAGTCCAGATCCACCCCTTCCCGCTGTCCTGTACGCCCCAGAGGGCAGTCCTCTGCCTGAACCACCCCTGGGGCCTCCCTAGCAGCTTAGAGCCCACCGAAATCACTCAGAGCAGCCAGTGCCAACCTGTACTACCCTGTCTGCCTCTCCCACTCCCAGAAAGGCCATGGGAGAGCTCTTGTCTCGCTCCTGTCTTCTGTCGCCCAACCAGCACCTGATGGCTTGGTGACACACAGTGACCTGCTCTAGGACCTGTGAGCATAATAAATGCCCTTTTCTTGTGTGTTTCCTATTCTCCTGTGCCCACACCTAACTGACCATCACAAAAAAGGACACAAAATGTAAATAAGTTAAGTGAAATCCACATAGCCATTTTTAGATTAACCGCATAATTTTGACCATTACCATAGATGAACAGTTCAGTGGCATTTAGTACATTCACACTGTCAAGCTGCCACTGGCCTCTATTTCAAATTATAAAACATTTTTATTGCCCTAAAAGAAAATGCCTTGCCCATTAAGCCATCCCTCCTTGTATCCGCTCCTCTAGCCACTGTCAAGCACCAACCTGCCTTCTGTTTCCCATGGATTTACCTGTGGGTAGTAGGTACATATGTTCATATGTACCTGTGCATATACATGAAATCATATGGTTTCTAGGGTCTGCTTTCACACACCAGGATGTTTCCAAGGTTCATCCACGTTGGAGCGTCAATACTTCATTACTTTTTATAGCTGAATAATATATCATAGTGTGGACCGACCACTTTTATCCCCTCACCTGTTGATAGAATCTGAATCGTTTACACATCTTGGCTTTTGTGACTAATGCTGCTATGACTATTTATCAGCCACGGCATTGTAGAGTCCCAGCTGCAAGGTGCCAGTATTCCCATATTTTTACATCCTTGCTGACACCTGTTTGTTTTCCATTTTTCAAAAATTCTAGCCAACTTGGTAGGTGGGAAGCGGCATCTTGTTGTGGTTTGACTTGCATTTCCCTCATGGCAGATGATGTTGGGCACCATTATGTCAGCCAATGCCTTTCCTTGTTGGCCATTTGTATATCTTTTTTGCAGAAGGGTCTATTCATGATTGAAAACACTTTTAATTGGATTGTGGTTGTCTTTTCATTGTTTCAGTGAATATTTACTTTGTGAATGAACATGCAATTCTGTCAGGCCTTGGACTGGAGCATCACCACGGTTCAAATCCAACTCTTTAGGAACAACTGTCCACCATCCCTGAATGGGTCTCTCAGCCAGCCATCCCAGCTCCCTGAGGCCTGATAGACATGCTGCTCTCAGAGTCTTTGAATTACTATTTCTCTGGTAATGTTTGTGTGTGTGTGCATGCACGCGTGTGTGTGTGCTGTGCAGTGGAAGGACATTCTGCTGTCTCTCTATTTCATCTGTGCGTGCTGCTCTCTGTCTCTATTGGACTTGACCCCATCTCTGTCTCCATTTCTGTCTATCCCTCATAATTTTGTCTTTCACTATATCTGTAGGGATCTCTATATTCCTCAGTATCTTTCTCCCAGTATCCTTGCCTCCCTCTAGCTACACATCTTATAATGTCATGTCTCCTGTATCTCTCTCTCCAACTCACTGGATTTTTCTGGTTTGTAAATTGCTGGCAGAGATCATTAGTACTTAACCTGCTGATCCTCCGAGTAGCTCTGCTCCCCTAGGCCCTCATCACCTCTTACCCCTAAGAGCTCCACAAAGGCGGGACGGAGAAGTCTCACAGAGAGAACCTGTGGCTGCTCCTGGGGGTGGAGGCACACAGGCCCAGCCCAGGATGCGCTCCTACTTGGAGGAATATCGGAGCACTTCATGTATACGGCCACAGAACTGGTTCAGGATGAGCCCATGATGCAAGCCAGGCCAGTAAGACTCAGCTGTGGAGCTGTGTTAAGACTACTGGGGTCACTGACTACAGGATTATGAAATCAGAGTGACTTGGGGGTCACCATAGGGAAATAGATTGCTGAGAGTGGAGCCAACACAGAGGAAAGTAGAGCAAAAGATGGAAAGAGACCAAATCCTAAGGGTTCCTTTTGGCCTCTGGATCCAGCCATGCCTGAAGCTACTACCAGCTTTAGTCTGGGAATTCTTCATTTTGTAACCCAAATAAACCATGTTTTCATTTAAGTCAGTTTGCTGACAGATGGCAAAAGAATAAGCGACCTCAACAGATTATAACCTATTGAATTAAATAGGAACCCACCATCCAACATGAATAGAAATGAATAAATGAAAAATAGGCAAATCTATAAAGACATAAAAAGTAGATCAGAGGTTGCCAGATATTGGGGGAGGGGAGAATCTCCATCAACTGCTACTGCATGTGGAGTTAAATTGGGGTGATGAATGTGTTCTGGAACCAGGCAGTGGTGTATTTGTACACCTCTTTGAATATACTAACAGCTACTGAATTGTACAGTTTTAAGTGTGACTTTTATGGAATTACACCTCAAAAAAGAACTTTCCAGACAAAATTTTTTAAACTTTAGGGAAAGACATGAGCAAATTCCTGAGCAAATGAAGGCAAACTCCACATTCATGTATCACGAAGATAGTCTCTCTCACTAAGATCAATGCAGTTTCAGTGAAAATCCTGGCAGGACTCTTTGAGGGAACCGACACTGACACCATGAAATGCTTGATGGAAATTCCTGTCTTTAATGATGACTTTGAGGAGTTTGTCGCATTTGAAATAATCCGAATTTGTTTTTAAAAGTTTGGATGCAAATCCACCTGGTGTCAATTGCCTCATTTACAGTTTTTCTGTAATAGCCTTCTCAATTTACCAAGGTTTACATATTTTCTTCTGTTGATTTTGGTAATTAATTTTGTTAGGAAATCATTTCCTCTTAGTTTTCAAACATGTTTCCATATTATTCTTTCACATTTATGTACCTCTCCCAGGGGTTATCTCACCTTTTCTCATTCCTTTTTCTCTTGCTCCATCACCCAGGCTCATGAAGTGTTGATCTTTCCTATGTGTGTTTTCAAAATACCACCTCTTAAATTTATTTTCCACCACCTATTTCTGTTTTTCATTTAGTTAAGTTTGTATCTTTATTTTGCTGCCCTCTGGTTCCTCCGCCTTCGCCTTCTAGGTGCCCACGGTGCGCACCCCGAGGTACGGAAGGCTAAGTCAAGGCAGACAGGAAGTGCCAAGTCTGAGAAGATGCTGGAGACCCGCCCTGCTCTCCTGGGTGCCTGGTGACCAGAAGGCATGTGGGTGGGTGGGCCTGGCTGGAGGACAGCCCTGGTACGGATGGCACGCGAGCACCCTGTTGTTCCGCTCCGAGCCCTAGTACGTCCCCGACAGGAGGGAAGCGGACCAGCCATCTGAGTTCCCATGGGGCTGGTTTGTGAGGGAGACTCCACTGTGTGGGGGTGTCCCAGTCCTTAGGTCATAATGCAATTGTGGGCTCATAGCTCCCCCTCTCAGGCCACTCACGCCAGACATTGGGAAGCAGAGAAATCAAGGCCAGTGAACCATCTTGAGACAAACCATGGGGATTCGATTTTGTGTAAGAGAGATGGCCAGGTCTGCTGGGCAGGCTCGGAGTGGGCAGAATCACCAGGACCTCACAGGTCTTGGGAAAGGAGGGGAGGCTGAGGCGGCGGGCATCTTTGTGCAGAGCCGTAAGGAGAGACAGCGTCTTAACTCAGTTGTGCATTTCCCGTTTAATTCTGAGCACAGACTGATGGCCATTTATTTATAATTGTAATTGAGGATGTTGAAGAAACAATCGAATGGTGCATAAAGAGGAAGAAGAAACTCAAGGTGGGTACAGTCTCCGCCTAGCAAAGAGATCCCTAGAGCACTGATGTTTACGTCATGAAGATGTGGAATTGTGCGTCTCGTGGGCCCAAGTCTAAAATCACCACGAGTCACCTCAGCATCAAGCCCATTTTCCTCCACTCTCCTCTGAGCACAGGCTCTCTGGGGCTGGGCCCGACCTGACAGTGGTACAAAGAGTGAGCGGAGGGAAGGAGGGCTGCCAAGCAGCACGTGGGCTGAGGGTGAGGCCCGGAGTCCTCCGTGTTAGCAGAACATTCAAAGGGAGCGCTGGGGTGGAGTG